GGCTCGATCGGGGAAGGACCACGCTCTCACAGAATACCAGCGTAAAATAGCAGCTTAATGCTGCTGTGTTTCGTATGGTGAGTGTAGAGAACCGGAGACCCTTTTTACTGGAAACGAGGCATTCCATCTTAGTCCTTACGGGTGACAACGCATCTGCATTTTGATTCTTAACCGAAGATAGATGTAGATGTCTATGGGCCACAGCAACCACTTACCATCAGGTGCACTGTGTGCTAGTTTGTCACCCTTATCCTATAAAAAAAATTTGCCTTGCTGAATAATTTTCGGAATAACGACTTTATTTTTATTAGGGGCGCCTTGTTATTGCGTATACTTGCAGCACCTAATTAGCACTTAATTCCTTGCTATTAATATTTATCGTATATCTAATAACTTAATTGCGTTGCTAGCGAGACGTTTTGCTAGCAACGCAAATTTCAACAGGTCGTTGCGGTGAAAATTTTAGAGCACCTAATTTTTAAACTTGGTACTTAATTAGCACCTAAAAAGCCCCTAATTTGGACTTTTTCTGAAAGCAATTTTGATTCTATTTTGATTTTCAGGAAATATGAATTTTGCATCTGCTATGTTCTGAATAACGACTTTATTTTTATTAGGGGCGCCTTGTTAGTGCGTATACTTGCAGCACCTAATTAGCACCTAATTCCTTGCTATTAATATTTATCGTATATTTAATAACTTCATTGCGTTGCTAGCGAGACGTTTTGCTAGCAACGCAAATTTCAACAGTTCGTTGCGGTGAACATTTTAGAGCACCTATTTTTTAAACTTGGCACCTAATTAGCACCTAAAAGCCCCCAATTTGGGATTTTTCCAAATGCAAATTCCCGACTTTGCGTTGCTAGCGATACACAACTTAGACAAGTTACGCTGGCATATTATAGGATTATCCGAAGTCCGAAGAGAGGGGGAGGACACGGTAATCCTCGAATCCGGCAACTTGCTCTATTACCGGGAGGGCGACCATCTGTCCCAAGGAGGTGTCGGATTTATCGTCCACAAGTCTCTCGTTAACAACGTTGTAAAGATTGAGAGTGTGTCGACGAGGGTTGCGTACCTTATACTCAGAATCACCAAACGGTATTCGCTGAAGGTCATACAAGTTTTCGCACCAACCTCGGCACACCCCGCTGAGGAGGTGGAGGAAATGTATGAGGATATCTCTAGAGCCATGCATTCCTCCAAAACCCACTATACGGTGTTAATGGGAGACTTCAACGCAAAACTAGGCACAAGAGAGAACGGTGAGCTGAAAGTAGGGAAATTCGGAATAGGGCAACGGAACCCAAGGGGCCAGCAGCTGGCCGACTTCATGGAGAAAGAGGGACTCTTTATGATGAATTCTTTCTTCCAGAAGCGGCCCCACAGAAAGTGGACCTGGTCGAGCCCCGACGGTTCCACAAAAAATGAGATTGACTTCATTATGACGACCAGACGACAACTGTTCAGTGATGTCTCCGTGATCGCGAGGGTGAAAACCGGCAGCGATCACCGAATGGTGAGAGGCACACTGAACCTAAACGTTAAGTTGGAGAGATCTCGTCTAATGAAGTCAACGCTCCGTCCCCCTCGTGCTCTAATCCAAAGTCACAAAACCTTTCAGCTCATGCTACGAAACTGTTTTCAGTGCCTAGAAGATTGCAATCCAGTGGACGATATAAATGACAAGCTCGTGGAAACTGTCCATGCGGTCGGAGCTAAGTTTTGCAAGACCCGCCGCAGATGAACACAAAAACTCTCCGATCACACTCTTAATCTCATGGCTGTTAGACGGGATATGAAGCTGCAGTCTTCAGTAGATTTGACAGCATACAGGCAACTTAACAGACATCTCTAAATGCATGCGGCGGGACTTACGCAACTTTAATACTGCTCGTATTGAAGAAGCGATCGAGCGGAACCAGGGCTCCAAAGTCTTTGCGAGAGATCTGTTTGCCAGAAACAGCCAACTGTCGAAGCTGAAGACCGACTGTGGCAGCGTCATTTCCGGGACACCTGAGATTTTGAGTGAGATTGAGAGGTTCTATGGGCAGCTGTACACATCATCGTTGGAGCCACACGCAAGTGTGAGTAATATCGAATATATGGTATATCGAAGTGTTGAAGTGCTTGTACAGTAGGGCTACGATGGCTATCCGAGTACAGAACCAGAGTACGAAACCTATCCAATTGCAGAGAGGTGTAAGACAGGGTGACGTCATATCCCCGAAACTTCACCGGTGCATTGGAAGACGTTTTCAAGCTTCTGGACTGGAAAGGATACGGTATCAACATCAATGGCGAGTACTTCACTCACCTTCGATTTGCCGACGATATAGTCCTTATGGCAGAATGGCTGGAGGACCTAAGCACTATGCTCAATGACCTCAATAGTGTTTCCCAACGGATAGGTCTTAAGATGAACATGGACAAAACAAAGATCATGTTTAATGTGCATGTCACACCTATGCCGGTAGTTTTTGGGAGCACTAAGCTCGAAGTTATTGACGAGTACGAGGGCGGCACTGAAAATTTCGGGAATCAAGGAAGTGACACAACATTACTATTTAAAAATGTATTTATTGCTTTTCGAAGTATTCTCAGCGAAATTTGACACATTTTTCCATACGATGGAACCAATCATTGAAGCAACCATTCCATTCGGAAGTTGGGGTCTCCAAAATGGCCGTTTTGTAGGCGTCCACAGCTTCTTCAGGTGATGAAAAGCTCTATCCACTCAATTTATTCTTTATTTTAGGGAAAGTATAGAAATCATTAGGGCTTAGGTCGGAACTGTACGGCGGATGGTCTAATAATTCTATGTTTTCTTGCTCTAAAAACTCTTTTGTTCTGTGTGCGGTGTGAGAACTCGCATTGTCGGGACGGAGGATAATGCGGCGGGTGCAGTTCTCTTTACGGAGTTCAGAAACGACCTGTGGCAAACAAATGCTAGCATACCATTCTACATTAACCGTTCTTTGTCCCTCAAGAGGAATAGTCGTAACATGGCCGGTTTTGGAGACAAACGTGGCCACCAATTTTTTTGCAACACTCCGTGAACGAACAATTTTAGTTGGCTTTAACTCATTTTCGAACACCCAAACTCGTGACTGGTTTTTTGTTTCGGGTTCGTACGCGTATATCCAGGATTCGTCACCTGATACGATGTTGTATACAGCATTTGAGGATCCTGCGTGGAATCTTTCGAGAGTTCTGACGCACCAAGTAACGCGAGCCGCTTTTTGCTCTTCACAGAGCGAATGCGGTATCCATCGGGAAAACAACTTTTTTACACCTAATTGTTCATGCAAGAATATTTGTATTTGACTCATGCCAATGTCTAAAGTTGCCTGAATTTCGCGGTATGTCACATGTCGATCTTCCTCAATCAGCTTACGCACAGCATCAACGTTTTCTTGGGTGACTGCAGTTTTTGGACGACCTTGATGGGGATCATCACTGAACTTGACACGTCCACGTTGAAATTCAGCAAACCAGCGATAAATTGTGGTTTTGGATGGGGCTTCATCACCAAATGCAGAAATCATCCGGTCAACACACTGTTTTTGTGTTAAACCACTTCGAAAGTCATAATAAATCATCGCTCTTGAATTTTCACGAGTCGATTCCATTTTCTCAACGACTAAACAAGTTTGACAAAACCTTGTGACAAGACCGAGAATCTTTTTTTAAGTAAATAAATGAGTTTTAATTAAAAATATTTTAATATGACAGGAACAGTGGAAATATTCCATTCCCGATACTTTTAGTGCAGCCTATGTATGTTTACCTGGGACAAATAGTCCGACTAGGTAAGTCCAACTTCGACCGAGAGGTCAATCGACGGATTCAACTCGGTTGGGCAGCGTTCGGAAAATTTCGGCACATCTTCTCGTCAGGTATACCTCAAAACTTAAAAACGAGACTGTACAACCAGTGCGTGTTGCCAGTGATGACATATGGAACTGAGACTTGGTCCTTCACTACTGGCCGGATCAGGAAGCTCAAGGTTGCTCAGCGAGCTATGGAGAGGGCTATGCTCGGAGTTTCCCTGCGTGATAAGCTTAGAAATGAGGATATCCGCAGTAGAACCAGAGTGACCGACATGGCCCAACGGATTAGTAAGCTGAAGTGGCAATGGGCCGACCATATAGCTCGAAGAACGGACAACCGATGGGGAAGAAAGGTTCTCGAGTGGCAGCCTCGTACCGGCAGACGAAGTGTAGGGCGTCCCCCCACTAGATGGAGTGACGACCTGGTAAGATATGCAGGAAATCGATGGATGCAGGTGGCTCAGGACCGTGCTTTGTGGCATTCCTTGGGGGAGGCCTATGTTCAGCAGTGGACTTGTGAAGGGCTGTAATGATGATGATGATGAGTGTCAAAAACCTGTTTCTTTAAATCTTAGAAAATTTTCGTGATCTGTTTCTGTACAAAAAATGTCTGATGACACAGACGCTGAGACCATGTTTTCTTAGATTGCTTACACATTATTTAAATTTAAAAAAAAATCAGACCCTCATAAAACTGACAATTATTAGCAATGAATTGTAAAATTTTTGGTTTTATCACCAAAAACAAAAAAGTATAGTCAGACTTTGTCTAACATAACTATGGCCTAAATGATACTTTTCAATCAACAAGTCAATCTTACAATTATCCTGTATAATGCTTGTTCCGTGTGTGATTCGAAGCAGCGATTATTGGATTAATGTAATTGTAACATGTTCAGAAGAACGTCATCATTATCATTCGAATATAGTTTCTCCACCATTCATTCCCTCCAAAAATGCGTATGAGATACATTACTCAAAGTAATTGGCTAAAATACTTTATATGTATATAGAAACATTACAAGAGTATAATCATGTAAAATATTGTAATTTCTCTATTTCTCCCTGGGTTAACCAATAGAGAACGCCATAAGGCATAAACTCCACCTAGTGTTCAGTTTGTGGTGTCTTACAATAAATAAAATGTTTAATTCGTATGTATTTCAGAACCATACATCACACCGACAAATCATTTTTCAAAACTGTCTGAGAGCAAGATTAAATCAAATTCTACTGATTGTAACATAAACGATGTTCGTAAAGGAAACCTCGATTTAGAAAGCACTACTATTAAATTAAAGGCTAAAGTGAAAAAAAATAATCAACCAGTTATTAAGAAAGGAAAGCATCCTGCAAAGATTATGAAAAAGAAAATTTTGAAGCAAAAGAGTGCGAAAAACACATCAGGGGCACCAACAAAATTTTCAAGAAAAGACATTCTCGCCAAACACATTTCATACTGTCATAAGACGCAAAAGAACTCAGTCACCACTGCAGTTCGGACACAAGTTGAACAAACTCCAGTACCACAACTAACGGAAATATTTAATTGTGATATTTGCGAATTTAAAACATCTCAAAAACGTTACATTTTGGCACATCTTAACGCGCACATTGCTGAACAAATGTTCTGTTGTAATAATTGTGATTATAGAAGTATAAAAAAAGATAATTTGCAAAAGCATATGAAAATACATACTGGAGAAAAACCTTTTTCGTGTCATATCTGTAAATATCAATGTATTCGAAAAAGTAATTTGCAATCACATATGACAATACATACTGGAGAAAAACCTTTTTCGTGTCATATCTGTGAATATAAATTTATTACAAAAGGTAATTTGCAAACACATATGAAAATACATACTGGAGAAAAACCTTTTTCGTGTCATATCTGTAAATATCAATGTATTCAAAAAATTAGTTTGCAATCACATATGAAAATACATACTGGAGAAAAACCTTTTTCATGTAATGTCTGTGAATATAAATTTATCACAAAAAGTGGTTTGCAAAGGCATATGAAAATACATACTGGAGAAAAACCTTTTTCATGTAATATTTGTGAATATAAATGTATTACAAAAAGTGATTTGCAAAGGCATATGAAAATACATACTGGAGAAAAACTTTTTTCATGTAATATCTGTGAATATAAATGTATTACAAAAGATAATTTGCAAACACATATGAAAATACATACTGGAGAAAAACCTTTTTCGTGTCATATCTGTAAATATCAATGTATTCGAAAAAGTAGTTTGCAATCACATATGAAAATACATACTGGAGACAAACCTTTTTCATGTAATATCTGTGAATATAAATGTATTATAAAAAGTGCTTTGCAAAGGCATATGAAAACACACACGTGAGCAGAACCTTTTTTGTGACAGATCTGGTAAAATATATGCAATATTATGTAAACGTGTTTTATATTAAAAAAAATTATAGGATAGGGTGTCAAACGAGTATACAGTCCACCTGATGGTAAGTGGTTGCTGCGGCCCATAGACATCTAAATTTCTTCTCAATAAAGAATCAAAATGCAGATGCGACGTCACCCGTGAGGACTAAGATGGAATGCCTCTTTTCCAGTAAAATGGGTCTCCGGTTCTCTACACTCACCATACGAAACACAGCAGCACTAAGCTGCTATTTTACGCTGGTATTCTGTGAGAGCGTGGTCCTTCCCCAGTCGAGCCGACCCATTCGTGCTACAACTATACTACTAATATAGCTGCTGCATGGCTCTACCACGTATAAAATTATACTAAATAAAAATATAAAAGTATACTAGATAAAAATCCATTTGTCGTGAGTTCCTTATGTAACTGTAGAACGAGTAGAAAAACCTTTCCGTGTCATATGTGCTAAATGAAACTGCATTTATTTTGAAGAAGCTAATTCAAAAACCAAAGAAGCAACCAAGTGAAATCGAACCTGGAAATGTGTACCGAGTGGTTAGTGGAAACAGACCAGACCTTCATGATTTTTTTTTATCTTTATTTAAATATGTATATATATATAAATATTTAAATGATACTAGTTTATGTTTTACATTTTCGTTTTGACATTTATTGTTACCGTTACAGCCTATAAAGGTCGCTGATCAACATAGGCCTCCCCCACGGATTGACTCATAGGGGGGATATTTGCCATAGTTGGCATACATGTTCGGTAGGCAACCGCGGTTTTTTATTTTTATTTGTTATTAGGAAGACGCTGCTGCCCATCTCCTGGTTTATTTCCTCCGTCGCGTCGCCTAGATATAACATATAGATATAGATATAAGAATATCCACTACCCCTTATCATCCTGTGTGTATCGTAGAGGCGACAGAGAGAAACAAATCAGGAGATGGGCAGCAGCGTATTCCTAATAAAATTAAAAAAACTGTGTTGCCAACCCGCCAGCCAATCGTGGCAACTATGGCAAATATCCCCCTATGAGGCAATCTATAGTGGAGGCCTATGTTCAGCAGTCGATTTTAATAGACTCTCCAACAAGAACACAATAAACGTCGAAACGAAAAAAGGACAAACATTAGCAATCAATTAAATAAATAAAAAAACATTGTCTGGTCATATTGATATTCATACTCGTATTATTTATTGCATCCATAATGTTACAGCTAAGGTGTTGAGAACATTTTAAGTTTTAACTTAAAACTATGAGATCATTATGGGCCCTGCAGGGCACGCCAATTAAGAGAGAGGAGGGCCATTACAGTGAAACAATAATGATAAATACACTTTGAAACAAAAATATAATCGAAATACTAGGTAGATATTTAAAATTTATCATTTAAGTATTCGTTTAGTGAGTAGTAATGTTTACAAATTAAAAAAAATCCTTACTTTTATTTATAAAAATATATATATGACGATAGACATGACGAAGGGACCTGATGAATGTGGCTTAAGGCGAGATTGGGTAGAGTTAGTATTTCTTTATGGCGTAATTGGTATCTGGTATTGCTTTCTCCTCGTTTGATATAGAATTCTGGGTATTTTTTTTAATGAATTTGCAGATTTCCAAAATGTATATGCACGGTAAGGTAAGTATTTAGGGATACTAGAGGGCGCCTTGCCAAGTTCATATCAGCTCCCTTGTTATTTTAAGTTTAAAAATATATGAAGTTATAATTTCGTTCGTATTTTTCTATTGAAACTGTAATTAGTACATCAACTATTAGTGTAAGTGTTATCTTAAAGAAATATTACGTGATTGTGACTCAAAAACAAATAATATTATTTCAAATGAAAATAAACATTTTATGTTACCTAATTTAAAACCCGTGTTAATATAAACAAAGTTTTATAATAAAACCCACGTATAGTGCTAACTATAATATAAAAAGTGTAAAGTGTAAATTATGGAAAAGGTTTGAATTGTGAAATAGTAACAAAGAAGAATCATATACAGAATAGTAGTTAATATTTAAAAACAAACCGTTATAATATTAAACTTAACAGCGACATCTTGTATGCAATAGCTTTAATTTTCAAAATAAAGCAGGAGCATTATGCTACATCAATAAAGTAGTGTATATGCGACATCTAACGGCAATACTATATAATCAATAGAATAAAAAGGCAGTGAGATTCATTAAGCAATAAAAACTAATTACAAGACATCAATTCATCAGTTTGCCATTTAAACTCAAGTGTAAACAAACTCAGTTTACTAATCAGCTGCTCTTGAATATTGACCACAAGTGACACCTATACTTATACATCAGATAAAAACTGTCTAAATCAACTAAATAGTGTCACCTAGCGGCGACTGATTGTACCAGCTGCTATAAGTGATATAAATCAGAGTTTAGAATCAAACCTATTTAACTAAGCAGTACTACAGCCCAACACTAGAGGTCACTTAAAGATGGCAAGTTGTGCAAAATGCCATAAAAAGTTATAAAAGAGACAATCTGTGACATGTTCAATTTGTAAAATGATATTTGACCTAGAATGTGCAAATATTTCATATCCTTTATTCATCTTAACCGGTTCAGTGCGGGTGACACGCCAGGCGTGCCATCGATTACTTTTGTGTGTGGCGTATGACACGCGAGTCGTGTCTTTTTAAAAATCGTTATAACTCGCTCAAATTGCTTTTTTGGAAAATTTATCCAGAATAAAATATTTATTATTTTGCGAGTAGTTCATGCATACAGCTTCGTTTCTGGATATTTTGAAAATTTGAAATTTTTAGGGGTTGACAACCTTTTTTTAACTTGTACATGGTACTCTTTTTACTTTGTGGGTTTTAAATCATGTTATCGAAAAATTGTCTAGTAAGTAACAAATAATAGCACTCATTGCGATCGCTCACAAACTCAAGTTGTAAATAAATTTCTGGAAAAGAAGTCTCCTGTTAAAAAAAACAATGCGTTTGTCTTATTGTTTAATTTTGCTTAAAATGGTTGAACTGCCGTCTTATTACTATCATATGGTAGAATAGACCTACGAAGTACCATGTGCTCTTGTGATATGGTATGAGGTTTATTTTTGCTTGAAACAGTTCGAAACCGTTCATGCATAAAAAAAGTTCGCTTTCTCTCAATTTCAAAGAAAACTCGTAAAAAAACACGTAGTTACCCACTAAAAACAAGTATCCTTCCATTTGTAACTTATGTTTGATGTCAAATAAACTTAATTAGGTCTAAACAAGTAAATAAAGCATAAAAAAGAACATTACTTTTACACATGGCGGACTTGTCTGTGGCGCTTGACACGCCCGGCGTGTCGTGAAATATTTGTTCGCCGCCACAGCTAAAAGTTGTCGAAAATTGGTGCCGGAACGAATCGGTTAATGAAAAAAGAAAGTAAAGAAAAATGGAAACGCGTCCGTTGTGAACAGTTTTACAGAAAAATATTCAAATGCCAGTATCTCTGGTTATAGAACATTCTAAAAATTCTTTTACCTCACCTAGAGAAAATGTAAGAATGCGCAACAGGATTATAGCAAATGTTTCAACTGAAAACTCATTTGAAATGCTTTCTGGAGACGAAATCAACACTGACGATGAGAATTATATGAACAAATCGGTCAAGTTGAATCGGAGTTATCCTGATATTGATCGTAAACTAAGTAAAAATGATTATGATGATTATATACATACACTGAAAGAGAAAAATAGAGAATTAGAAAAAAAAAATAGCATCTGCTGATGCTGAAATTGAAAAATAACTTGCTGAAAATAATCTGTTAGAGAAAAAAGTTTCAAATTATGAATTAAAAATTAAGCAGCTAGAGACAATTTGCAGCTCACCTAATGCGCTATTAAATATTGAAAATAAATTCCCTAAGCGCATGAAAGGAAAACAGTTAAATTTTATCGAAAATAATATAACGCCGGCGAAAACACCGACATGTAATCAGGAAAATATTGTTAATATAAAAGAACTTGAATGCATGATCTTTGAACTACAAAACCAACTACAAGAAGCAAGAGAAGAGATTTGCTTACTAAACAAATAGACTTACGGATCTAACGATAAACAATCGGTATGAAGAGTACAAAAATTATAAAACCAGCAAAATACGCATATTTTCTAGCGGAAAAGTAAATAAAGTCATTAACATAGCGTTAGCAACTTTTGCTGACGAAAACTATGAGATATGTCATTTCCTGAGATCTAATGTCGGTATGATGAACCTTCTAGACAACCTATGTAGTCAAGCAAAGTATCTCTCGAAAAATGACTTTTGTATTCTATTAATAGGAGAAGAAGATTTCAAATGAAGCGGAAATTATAAAAATTGTGTTCAAGAATGAAGAGAATCCTTGTTGAAAATAAAAAATACGAACGTTATATTATGCTTCCCTACCATTAAATTAGGAAAATACTACCAAATATATAATAAAAGGATTGAAACATTTAATGCATTGCCCTACAAAGAAGTACAAATTCATGAATTTGCATTTATAGTAGATTCTAATCTTGAGCTAAGTTATGATTACACTATGTTCTCTAGACCATTGGGTAAGTTGAATCCGAACAAAAACAGTTTCACTGTAAAGCATCGCGCCAAGTACACTTTCAACTATAGTTACAAAAATAATAATTACATTTTTACAAAAAATTATAAAATAAAAAAACACCAAGTACATAACCGGTTTAGAGTCAAAAAAAATTTTGCTGAAAATAGTAATAGTAAAAAAATGGTGTACTTGGTGTGCATGATTAAGAGTATCGATCACCCAACTTGATATTGGAAGTCGTTTTTTTATAACTTTTTTGAGTTATGCTCGTACTATAAAGTATAATTCACACCAAGTACATCATTTTTTTTATTATTACTTTTTTCAGCAAAATTTTTTTTCAAATCTAAAACGGTTAAGTATGTACTTGGTTTTTTTTTATTTTATAATTTTTTGTAAAAATGTAATTA